CCTGGTGTGAATAGTAGTGGAAAAATCCGTAAACCAAAAAAAGCATGAATATTTAAGCAATAATAAAGACACACACACACACACACACGTATAATACATATATATATATATATATATAATTCCACACACATAAGAACATATATATAAAGACACACACACGTATAATATATATATATATATATATATATAATTCCATGTATGTAAGTAAGGCTACTGTGGTTACTGAGTGTGAAAGAATAAGAACAAAGAGAAACATTATTAAACAGCGAAAACAATAGAAGAATAATCAAGAAGACAGTAGTTAACGATTGACATTGCATTTCAATATTTAAAGATCAAAGTTGTCAGGAAAGCATGGAGTCAGAAGAGAGTTCCACAAGCAAGAAGTGCGAAAAAAGAAAAACTGTTACCATAGAACTTACTGACCAATTCAACATCTGGCCAATTCAACAACAAATTGGTGAGATACTGCCGCTAATTTAGTACAGCACTTAAATTCATAAAGTCTAGCTGCCATAGCGAAGTGCTCCGAACAATTAGCATAAAAACCTTTATAGAAAAGCCACAGGGAAACTACATTACGGCAGTAAGAAAGTGACTGAAGCCGAAACGCTAGGTCAGGACCATTAATATTGCTGATTCTTCTTTGGATTTGATCAAGAATCTCTCGATATACAGCAGGAACAACAGACCATATGTAGCAGCAATATTCAAAGCATGTATTATTAACAGACTTATAAATATGTAATAGAAATTCAATGGAGAAAACTGTTTGGCTCAACACGGTGAAGCAACATTTTTAGCAGCTGACCTAACAATTAATTCAATATAATCTTTCCACTTCATGTCAGCTGAGAATGTAAAGCCTAGAAGGTACAACGATTCACTCGTGGAGGTTAGACTAAGCCAGGCTGATGGGAGGTAGGAAAGGCTCTTTCAGGTGATTCATAGAGAGTTTTTGTTTTGAACGCCTTAAAATTAACAAGCCATACCTTGCCACACAGTAGATCATTTTTTTAGATCAGCCTTGCTATCAAGACAGGTGTAAATGGTTGAGTCATCACTATAGATATCAAGTTAAGAACTAATGTCACTTTAGAAGGTTAATGTATGAGATTTAGAGATAGACAACTAAACGGTATTTTTTTTTATTAATATTCACCAACCTGAAATTTCGGAAAATCTTATCAAGAAAAACTTGCGATCTTCGACGGGAATCGAACCTACATTTTTAGCCCAGTGCGACTATAACGCTTTGGCTACCATGAGCCATCCGTTCAGGCGAACCCAAATTTGATGTTTTCAAGCGAAATTCTCTTGTCAATGATCTCTTAAAGTTTTTCATATGTGCACGCAGTTTCGAACCCAATCGTAAACAAGGAGAGTTTATTAGAATGCATTTATTAATCAGATTTATCCGACAAATTTAAACGGTATTATTAGTGGTCACGCGTATTTGAGTAGACGTCGATATCGAAGTCAATACCCAGAGACGACAGTTTTCCTTAGGCTATATGCGTTGTGTATTTTTTTGCTCGACTTATATTTATATATACATGTCAGAAATGAATTGTAAGTAGTCTATTGTATTATTCTAACGGTTCTTTTGCTGGACGGTAACCGTTATATTTCGAATTGTTTTAGTGAAAATAATCATGGGTCCCGATGCAAGTTTTTGTTTGTTTATAATGTTGTTTGTTAACTTTTTTATTATTATTATTATTTATTGTTTTATTGTTGATTATTATTATTACGTTTTATTTGTATTTATGTATGCGTTCGTGGTTTGTTTTTCTGTTTATTATTTACTTTCGATTAATTTATTTTACTTATATTTGTTTATTGATTTTATTTTATCATTTATTTATTTACTTATTTTTGTTATTCTTGTTCGTTTTCAGTTTTCGATTTGTAAGTAACGTAGTAAAAATTTGTTTTCGTGTCCGCATTTTTGGATGAGCTCAGATCGTTTATTTGGTAGTTTGTGTTGATCTGGGAAGGTAAGTATAGCTATTTTCTCCTCCAAGCAAATTTTACATTTTTGGGATGTATTGTTGTAGGCTGATGTTGTTTTTCTTATTTTCCATGATATTTTGGTTTGATTTTTTTTTTTTTTTTTTTTTTTTGGTCGGGGTAATCTCCCAGATATAGTTAGAAATCATTGTGCTATTCCCGTATTTACTATTTGTAAAGGATGATTCCTTATTGTATCATTAAATATTTGAACTTGACTTTAAAAAATATCGCAATAAATTTGAATGCAGTTCATTATTTAAAGCAGAGGATACAAATTAAAATATTCAAAATTTCCCAGATTTTCGAATTCACTGAAGCGAACATTAAACCCCTTGATTGTTATCACCTCCTCTACCTTCCCTTTCTTTCATTTTTTTTTCTGAAAGTAAAAAGCGACTACGATATTTTTTTCGTTTCACCTCGCAATGAAAACAGAAGAGTTAATTATTTCTGTGGTATTGGCAGGTCGTAAAGCACTTGCTAGGTAATGAATAAACACAATTAGAAAATAATAATGCTATGATGATAAAACAGACACGGCTCTTATGGCTTCTCCTTTTAATTGATTGAAATTGTTAATATGTACCTGTTTTGTCGTGTTGATTAAATTAAACGGTCCAGTTCGAAAGTTTCTGTTTGACAGTTGGTAGGGTGTACAGGCACCCGAAGAAACGTTGAGATGAAGACCTTAGTCCGGATAAAATAATGTTAATAACATGCATAGGAATACTAATTAGCATTTATCCTAATCACGAAAAACCTTTATTTTACACAACAAATAATTATTTTAATATATTTTTCTTTGTAAAACCCATAATTCAATGATATATCTTTATCGTAAAGAATATTATACACTGACAATATAAGATCAATATTTAAGTAATAACTATCTATCACGCTGCAGGCTTATCAATCTAGCCTCATATATATGGTCTGTGGGTATTCCTGTGTTCCATAATCATTTTATCTAATATTCCAGCTTCAGACACCTTCCCGCCATCAAAATATATCTTCCCTGTACCTTTTCTATAAATACCTTCATGGTAATTGTTCTGATGAACTTTCTTCTCTGTTAGTGGATGTGTGCTCATTGGCCTCTTTTATTTCTGTCCCTATTTTCTTTAGTTTAATATCCCTGCCCTCTGTTAGATGATAAAGATGTCAGTTCTCTGGTAGATGCGGGATGTAGTGTGTATTTCGTATTTGTTTTTGTGTCTGAATGAGTGTGTGTTTGAGTGAAAGTGTGGTCGAATAATTGTTCTTAATGACCTAGTCCCGCATTAATTTGGTCCAGTTAACTGATTTTTCTGCTCCAATTAAGAATTGTAGGGATTTAATCACTAAAATTATTGTGTTTAGTTTCGTATATATACATTGTATTCATTTTAAATAGCCATTGGGGTTTCATATTTTAATGTTGTTATTTTTATTTCCTTCAGACAAATTGTACAGAAGGGAACTACTTAGGACTTCATAGAGACTCTGAGGTATTATGGTGGCTGTAAGAAAGGTAAGTAAGAATGTGATGTTTTGGTGTAAGGAGTACTGTGGTATGTTTGGCTCTGTAATCGTGGCTAGCTAAGTTTAAGATAGGAAATACTGAAGGCCAGCTTTCCACTACCTACTTTAGGACTTGTGCAACATTTTTGTATTATATTCAAATATTAATTTCCTCTCTGTTAAATCGACTTTATGAAACTAAACGCAATACTAAAATGGAAATAAAGTCTTGACATTTTATATCTTTATATTTTATAGATATAGCCGTAAGTTCTTTGATAACATTTTCCCTTCTTGCTTCTGGAACTCTCTTTCGGTTTATTTATGTTATATAGGAATAAAGCGTCGCTGCCGACACTTGCGTTTGAACATAGATCGCCAGAGAACAAACACAGGCAATCCCATTATTGAATTAAGTAGACCGTTTGATCATAGAGGAAACGCATGAGTAGAAAATAACTTGGCGTCTAACTGTTCTGCATTTCTCGTCTATCCTCTATTACTATTCGGATCACTATTTCTAGTCTATCCTCTATACTATACGGACCGCTATTCTCTACTCTATTCAATATACTGTTTCTTTTTCAGCTCATTATACAGATTACTGTTCGAGCGAGTATTATCGAGCAAGTACTATTAGTGCGAGTGTTATTCGAATGCGCCTGACACCAGCATTGTTCAACGGCGTACTATAGTTGTATCTGCGATTGCAAAGTCTCTACTACACTGAGCATTACAAAAATGACAACGAATATTCGTTGGCAATGTGGATTCGTTGAGATCACAAAAATCTATTTAGATGCCTGTCGTTACCTACAGCCTGCTTGATTCCTCTTCTTTTATTGTTCTCGCTCTTTAATAATGTTTACATTTCTATTCTTTCACACCTGGTAACCCGTTGTGGCTTAGTGGCTTTATTTTCTTGTTTGGGAGGAAATGATAAGAAAATACTTTTTTGTGTATTGTAAATTAATGTTGATTAAGAGAAATCAGTATTAACGTCTAGTTCAAGGTTATTTTTAATAACGTGAATAATGGGATTAAGTTTTGAAATATTATTCAAACGATCAAATACACTCTAGTGGGAAATGAAAGTGGCCCACTTATGTCTACGCAAGTTACCGAAGTGAAGGGCATCTTGTTCTCGAATGACGACTGTTATTTGGTTCGACATAAACACGTAGTAAATAAAAAGTGGGTTAAACTTTGTTAAAAAATAGTTGCACGCGGGGAGCTAAGTGAATTAGATTGATTTATTAATAAAGACGGAATAAAGAAAAACGGAAAGAAAAATAAATGAAATGAAGATAAAGAAAGAAACTGGTTTCAATCTAAAATAACTAAAAATGAAACTGAAATAAAAAAAATAGACGAGAAGGGAACATTTCATTAAAATAAAAGTTAAAATTACATGGAAAAATAAAATGGACAATAACATATTACATGTTAAAAATAAGAGGGAAAACGAGAGAGGAGGAAGAAAATTATGGAAAAGAAGAAAAATAGGAAGAAAAAAATAATATAAAATGGAAGAAACGACGAAGAAGATAAAAATTAAAAATAATTAAATAACTTGAAAAGGAAGGGAAGACGAAAAGAAATAAAAAGGAACAAAGAAAAGATATTAAAAAAAAGAAAAATATAAATAAAATGAAAGGAAAGAGTGGCAAGAAAAATGCGAATAGAATGAAAGAAAAGAAAAACATGAAAGAAAATAACGAAAAAGAAGCAATAGAATGAAAGACAAAGAGAGGAAAATAGAATGAAGAGGAAAAAGAAAAAAGAAAAACGCAGAATATATCAAGTAAAGTGAGAAACCTATTAATGATAAAACGAAAAAGACAAGACAGAAGAAAATACAAAAGTAAAGACAAATAAAGGAACGAAACAGGAAAGAGAAATAAAAAAGAAATGTGCGAAAAAGGAGAAAAGATGAAGAAAAGATGGAGAAAACATGAAAAGATGAAAAATACAAAAAGAAAAAGAAAATAGAATAAGACAAAAAGAAATGACAAATAACGAAAGAAGACGAAGGAAATAAAAAAAAGCAAATCAAAGAAAAAGTAACGACAAACTAAAACAGAAGAAAGAGACAAAATGTCAGGAATAAAAATGAAAGAAGGCAAAAATGAAAGAACAAAGATAAGAATAAAAGATATATTCGTTTCTCCAAATATTCATCATTAATAAAATAAAATATTGGGTTTAATTTCCTCCAATCCCTTCTAAAAAGATTCAAAGATATACCGAGAAGAAAATGAAAATCTCCCGTTTCCCACTCACCAGCAACAATAAGAACAAAACAAAAATTGAAAAATGCGATTGAAATGCTACAGAAGGAAATGTTTATACAAATCAATTTTCTCCAAGATAAAATGGATTTTCAGAACAATCATTACAAGCCTAGCTATTTTCAAACTATAACATCATAAAATATATCAACATGTATATCCTTTGAATAAAATTTTATCTACATGTATGTTTATAGATATGTAAGTGTACGTGTGTGCATAAATGCATAGGCCGGAGCGTACAACGGCCGAAACGTTGTGACAAATATGGCGACAAAGATGAGGACAATAGTCCGACTAATGTAAATACTGTATTAAAAACCTAATGTTCTGGCATCTCCAGCGGCAACGGAGTACCTTGTGAGTTTGTCTTTCCACAAAGATTAATATAACTAACATGTGCGTGTATATATATATATATATATATATATATATATATATATATATATATATATATATATATGCTTGCGTATATATATAAATGTATTCATAGATTCCCACTTTTAATTTTCTGTATCTTTCTATCAGAGCATTATACTTTTATCCATATCTATATAAACGGTCAGATTTTATTATACAAGATAATATTTTAAAAATAAAATTTATTTTAAACAACTGATATACGTAAAATCTTCAGGCTATATATATATATATATATATATATATATATATATATATATGATTGGCTGAAGATTCTGGACGTATTATTTTAATCTTCTCGAATTCTCGGATCAACTCCTTAATGTTCATATTAAATTCATTAAAAAAAGGTATCATAGGTTTTTTTCATTTCTTTATTCCCAATTTACAGTAAAATTTATTTATTCAGAATTTAGAGAAATTTTAATTGTCAATACAAGCATGCTCCATCATGAAAATAAAACGCAAAAACTTCAAATTCTTGAAACCCTCTATATAAGAAAAATACAAACAAATGCGAAATAAGGTTAATTATGAGCACAACAACAATGTTATAAAATGTCTATAATATCAATATTTTTTAAAATACTTAAATTGTAATTTTAAAAACAATTAAAATTATATAAATTAAAGTTACGTCACTTAGATAAAACTTAAAAAAACATAATAGCTTTAACGGTTGATATATAAAATGATTATAACGGAACACTTTCACATGTGTTTATAATTATGACTGGGTGCGTTTCATGCGCATTTACAAAAAATTCTTAACCATCAATTATATAAATATTTTGTCTTAGCAATTCACCCCTAAAAATGATCTACGGTACTTTCCTTAACGAACTTAATATCAACATTAAGAAGTTGATCCGATAATTCGAGAGAATGAAGATAAATATAGACATATGTCCAGATTATTCAACAAAACATGCTGGAATGAAGATATGCCTATATATATATATATATATATATATATATATATATATATATATATATATATATATATATGTGTGTGTGTGTGTACAGACACACACATATATATTTATAAACACATATAATCCACCAAGAAAATGTATACAGACTTCAGTAAATGGAAAACTTTCAAGGTTTTAGCAAATCGGACTAACACTATTTTGTGTAGGATGTTGTGTATCACAGGAAACCGACTACATTGGCTGCCCTTAGACAAGAAATTGAAAATGCATGTGGAACAGTCTTACTGGACACATTAACCAACTTTGCCTGAGCAGTAGTCCGCCATATTAATAAATGTCTGGAAGCTGAAGGCCACCATTTTGAAAATATCTTGTGATTGCAGAGAGCAAATGTAACTTATATTAATTTCGTGATGTCTGAATAAATTTAGTATTACTATATCTAAACAAGCTCTTTCTTTCCTGAATTGTATATACATTTTTTAGCGGACTCTCTCTCTCTCTCTCTCCCCTCTTTCTCCCTCAGTGATTGTCTCTCTCTATATAAAAATCTAGTATATATATATATATATATATATATATATATATATATTTTTCAGATAGAGTAGAAGGGGAATAAGAATGCAAAAACTATAAAGACTATCAGTTTACCTTTTGTCTATATATATATATATATATATATATATATATAAGGTGTGTGTGTAATATCACCTGAATTTTCAACTTATACCGTCTTACTTTATTATAAAAATATTGATAATTTGTTTTGTTGCTGTCTGATATGAAAAGTGCAACATATATTTTTATTTCAAAATAAATCCAAAAGATATAGATCACGGAATTATATTTTGACATACTATAACATTCCACATTCATTGAACCACTGACTTGAACTCTTCTGTTGATTGACAATAACATTTCTAAAAACAGTTTCCAAAAGCCTTTCCTTGAAAATTATTTTCAATTCTCGAATTGGAAGAGTTTTAGTCATTCCATTAATCTAGTTTATTTATACATATTTTGGCAGTGCTAGTAATAGTCACGATTGCAGAACTAAATTAATCAATTGTCATGTATGAAGTTTTGATTCCGTTTAAAACATTTTTGTTATGAAATGTAACCGTCTAAAATGAATTGTCCAAGAACTTAGAATAATTCTTTGCATATCATGCTAGAATCAGTTACGAGGGAAGCGATTATTTTATTGCCGACATATCACCACATGAGTTTTCTAAAAATAGAATAAATATTATAAGCCCAATTTCACATGGTATATTTATCATAGCAATATAATTATACCCTGAAACTTTTGCGAACATTGCTTGATATAAAATAGATCACAGTGAGTTACGGTGTTTCATCCCTTTGTGTGGCTTTTAAGAAAAAAGAATGTTTTAAAAACACTACTATACCGTATTTAGCTAAGTAGATACTTTACTCCAGCATGCATTCCCACTGATATTATCAATGGTAGAATTTACCTAAAGTAGGTAAAACTATTTATGGAGAATAGAATCGACGACTCTCGATCCATTCACTGTGAATTAAAAAAAATATCTTCAAGAAGGCAAAGGTATACAATTCCACAATATTTCCCATGACATTGTGTCATTTCAAACATACTGAAGAACTGAAAGCTCTGAAGAGTCATGATCGTCCAAGTCTTGAAGAGACATGTCATAAAAAAAAACAAAAAAAAAAAAAATACGTTGTGAGTCTTATAAGAGCCTTCTACCTTGAACTTATTCTGTAGAACGCTTATTCGAACGAGTAACATTAGCCAATTAAAACGAAGGAAGAATTTGAGGAAAAGCAATGTGAATTGGGCACAGGAAAGTGCGAATACTCTATCAGGATAAAACGAGACAGTATATTTCTTTGGTGACTAGAAGAATGTTAATTTTGCAGATAGACTTTGACTTATCTTTGTATTCACCAATTCAGAATAGCATCGCAGACTTTAGATAATTCTCTTAATGAAAGAAAATTCAATTTCCTGGAAGACTGAGAAAGTCACCAGAAGAGTCCGTAGCTTAGAAAATCTAAAAGAAAATGTATGACTATGGAAGTCAAAAGTTGCCTGAAAAATAGCAAAAGATAGTGGAACAAAACGTTAAAGATGTTGCTGAATATAAATAAAGAAGGAAACTGTCTTTTACATTTTTGTATCTTTACTTCAAAAACTGAAAGAAGCTTTTCGGATATTTCCATTTTTTTTTCTCTCGCACATTCTCATTACTTCCCTCTTCCTCCTCCTCACTCACTGTGTATATGTAGCCATATGAATCAACACTGCATGGTGACTTTCAGTTCCACGCCTCAGTTGGTCTGATTATCTGTAGTGTACTCGTGTATGTAATATTGATGCATGGCCAGAAGATCGCTTGAGTCGTGAAAATGAATCACCATGCAGTGCTGATTCCGATGTCTACACTTTCTATAACAGCTGTATCTCCGATATTGAGCACTCTTCCTTTATGAATATAGCAATATTTAAACACACACACACACACACAAACACACACATACACACATACACACAAACACAGACATATATATATATATATATATATATATATATATATATATATATATTGTTTAAATATGCCAAAAAGTATTTTAAAATATTTAAAATATTGTTTGTTTAAAGAAAGCTGAAATATAAATAATTACTGAACAAAAAAATGGACGAAACTAACAAAAAATTACTGAATCAGAGAAATGAAATAGCTATTTTTGCCGTCATTGTCAAAAAATTTTCCTTAAATAATATTTTGAAAAATAAAATTAAAAAAAAATGTGACCTGGTAATATACATACTTATATTTGATATGGAAAAATAATTTTATATACTGGAAGTAATTCTATTACATGTACTTGTTTTAAAAAGAAATATAGTCTATTAAAAATTAAAAGGGAAAATATTTTAAAATAGTAGTTAAATAAAACGTATTCTAACCTAAACACCCCCCGCCCAAAATCTTTAAGTATACAAATAGAAAGAATACCGTAAGAATTTTTGCCGTTAACACTATTTTTTTTTTTAAAAAAGCCAAAAAACCCAGACGGCATGAATTTAACGGATGTCAAAATTCGTTGAAAAATACATCCCCACCCGTACCTAAACTTAACCCCTTTTTCGAACGTAACAAATAACTGATACAACAAAAGTTAATAAAAATCAACACGTTACCACCCCTTGTCTGGATGATTGGATTTCTCTGTATCCTTGGTAACCGTAAATTATGAATTTCCCTTGCAGTTAAAACTCAGTAAATTTAAAAAAATAAGTTACTCCAAAATTCGCTTGGGAATGAAAGGGGACTAATGTTTTTTTATTTAATTACAAAATTAAATTTAAAGTTTTTAGCTTCCATTTTTGAAACATGGTTATTACTGTGTAGCGAGAAAACCATATTTTAAATCAGTTAATTTATAATATTAATGCTCTGAAAATTTACATTGAGCACTATTTTGTAAAAAATAAAAATACCAATAAGAACACCGGATTACATATCTTACTGTTCTTTATATATATATATATATATATATATATATATATATATATGTATGTATGTATGTATAAATAGATAGATAGATAGATAGAGAGAGACTGAGAGAAATAAGTTACATGAATTTACTCATCCAAAACGTTTTGAAGTATACAAATAAAACATCGTTCATTTTTTATCAGTATATTTCCACCATTAAGATTTGTTTTTTTCCCATCGGTGCACGAACGAAAGAAGTTTACATCTTGAAGAACGTAGTATCAAGCGACTGCAGACAAAGTTGCACTTATGTAAAAACAACATCATCAGTGTATAACCGCTTCATGGATAAATATTATTTATAGAATCTAAAGGAGGTACGATAAATAAGAGATCTTAACTAATGGAGCAAATCATTTGTTCAGTTGGTGGCGATGACGGGCGGGAGGAAGACAGAAAAATCCTTTATACCCAGATCTTGCTTTCTTTCGGCAAATAAACTCCCTCTGTCTTGCGTTTCAAAGTATTTGACTGCCTTAACTCTTTCGCCATTGTATATTAAGTTCAGTAGAACTGTAGCGTCCCAGAACATCGCAGGTTGGGTTGGTGGGGATGGATGCCTCTAGACAATATCCCTCTAAATCCTTCAGATTATCATATGTTCGAAACCATAAAATAATATATAATGTGTGTGTGTGGCCTTGAAAAGTCACATAATTCCTTCTCTCCTACGTTTTCGACCCTCCATTCGTGAATGACAGATCTTCCCCAGGTTCATATCTTCTCTTTTCCCTCTCTACGTATGTTTCAGATTAAGATATATATATATATATATATATATATATATATATATATATTTATATATATATATATATATATAAATATATTGAAATATTAGACTGATGGATAGCGACTATACCCCAATCAGTTTGAAAGATCAATATTGTTGATTCTACACAACACAATCCTGGCTGCAATATTGACGTTTACTCAGAAAGAATATAAAAAGCCGTTAATGAAATTTATGTAAATGTTATTAATAAAAAAAAAAAGTAACCACGTGATATCTGTCCTCCTGTATGGCAGAAAATGTTGGGCAATCTCCTCAAAGATGAAGAAGAGACTACAGAAATGTAGTTCTGCAGAAGGATGCTGAGGATACCATGGACCGAAAAATGTAAGCAATGACGTGGATTTGAAGAAAACGGAAACAAAAATACTTAACATCAGGAAGAGGCAGTTGAAGTTTCTTGGGCACATAATGAGGAAAGAGTGCTTGGAAAAGCTGATACTCACATGACAAGGAAAGAAGGACAGAGGAAAGCAGCACATGACATACTCGATGAGCTTGAGCAAATGGATTGTAGAACAGGGTTTCTGAGAAATAACAAAAAGGCAAAATGTATTAAAAGCTACAAAAGATAAGAAGATGTGAAGGACCATGATCGCATACGCCATGAAGAGACACGGCACATAAAAGAAGAATAATCACCTTCAATTTTAACGATAGCAACCCAATGAGAACGCAACATTTTGATTCCACGTTTAAAGAAAATATGTTTAAAAGACTATCGTCAATATCTTTGTTTCTGAATGTTTTACCATTTATGAAAGTTTCTAGTAATCGAAACAAATACATATCTGTAGGTTCTAAATCTGGTGTATATGGGGGATATACAAAAACATCCGTTCCTACCGAGGTTATTTTTTATTAGGTTTTCTTTGCATGGTAATCCTGGAGAATAATAGCTTTTATGCTTACCAAAGCCCTCACACTTTCGGCATAATGCTTCGTTTCCCTGCTAAAGCAATACATCTCGGCAGCGATGATAATTTAATGTTGTAGAAGCTCATAATGAAAATCATATTTTATATTCCACAGAAAACAAAATAATGCCGTCTTGTATTTGGTGTAGGTATTGGTGTCTCATTTTCCGGTATCTACTTTATATTATGTTTTCGGTTAAAACGTTCTCATTTTTCATTAATTATATCGATGTTATGCGAAAATTAAAGACAGCTATTCCTGGTGTAAACACTGTTGTATATAGTAGCACGTAGCATTTAGCTTTCTAGCGAGATTTCGTAGAAAACCCAATCTCCCCCTTTGCAAGTTTTCACAATTAAAATCTAAAATACACGTTACATGTCAGATAGAAGAGATGATAAATTAATTCTAAACGCAAATTGTTCGGCTTAAAATGGAAAATACAACCTTACTGAACTGTGACGGACATTGCAACCGAGTAATAAGCACGCTGTATCAAACTATGTTTTCTCCTACAATGGAAGACATAGGTTCGATCCCTACAGCTTTTCTCCATTAAGATTTCTATGATTCGCAGGCTGAATATCGCAGGCTGAATATATGTAAAACGGTATTTAAAATAAAATTGTGCCTCTGTTTCAAATACGAGTATCCACTAAATAATAACGTTGGCAATATATTTTCAACGTTATTTTTAGTATATATATATATATATATATATATATATATATATATATATATATATATATATATATATATATATATATATATATATATATATATATTGAAAGTGAGAGATAGAAAGGTAGATAATGAACAGACTGCGATTGCTAGTTAGATAGATCTAAATCGAAATATAAATAATAGAATACACAAACCCAATGAAATATATATGAACATAAGAAATTACAAAGATAAAACGCATGCAAAAACGACACAATAAAAAAACAACTTAAATAACCTGTCCGTTATTTTTTTAATGAAGCATGTATAAGAGAATTATTGCTGCCCAAATATTCAGTATGTTTATGTATATATGAAGCATCTATATGTCTGAATGATTGTATATGTGTGCACATAGATGCATGTGAACAGTGTAAATGTTCACATTTTAATACATACAGAGAATATTTTTGTGATATTGAAAGCGTGATCTGACCAGTTGAATTAGTGCCTGGAAAAGATTGGAGATTCTACCTGACAGTCTGTGAGACCCGGAATTGACAGTGACACGAATTAGATCGACTGAAATAATATTAAAAGAATGTATTGAACAACTAAAAAAACTCAAACTTGCAAGGCCAAACGTGTAACCACAGTGCCCTGTCCACCGACCCAAACTAACTCTTCTGAGATGGTCTGCGTCACCTTAAGCTTTTTTTTTCTTTCTTTTTGAGGGGATGTTCGTGGTGGCAAGTATATTACCATCACTATTATTATTATTGGTTTCACTTATATAATTTGTGAGTTTGAAGTGTCATTACTATTAGAAATATATGTATGTGTATGATTAAGTATGTGAATTTTATGAATTTTACACATGATTTATTTTGCATCTACTTTTAAATCATATTATTTCCAATACACATAACATGTACATTTTAAATATATATATATATATATATATATGTATATATATATATATATATAGAAAGAGAGAGAGAGAGAGTGAAAGAGAGTGAGGTGGAGACAATCTTCAGGTGCCGAGTGTAGTCTGGCCAGTATGTAATTTAAAATTAAAAAAAAAACATCTGGTTACTGCAATGTTGGTGTAGTTATATATTATACTCGGCTTCCAGTTTTTTTATTTTTTTATTTTATAAAAAAATTATTCTGCATATATGTATATATGCATGTATGTATGTATATGTGTGTGCCTAAAATATATTTTAGAGTTGTGAATATTAATTTCTTATATTATGAAATGAACTAAGACCGGCAATTATATTAATATATTTGTTATAAGTTATTTATATAGACACAAATATTTAAGTAAATGCTCGGTTTGTAATAATCAGTATTAACAACATTAACCGGCCTGAACGTCCGAGAAATTTTCATAGTAAATATGTGTCCTCCGACAAGTATCGAACCTGAACCGACAATGGAACCGTCATATAGGCTGACGTGCTATACCAGTTTAGTTACACAGAAGCAAATTCGATTTTACTGCTTTTAAACTAAAATTTCCATGATTTCCCTCGAACGTTCATATCTGCTCGAAGCGTATCTAAACTTAAACAAATGACAGCACACGCTACGAAATGGACAAAGTCCGACAATTATTTTATGATATTTTAATGTTATACGTTATTTATATACACACAAATATTTAAGTAAATGGTCTGTTTATGATAAACAGTATTAACAACATGTACCGGTCTGAATGTCCGAGAAATTTCACAGAAAATATGCATCCTCAGACAGGAACCGAACCTATGTCCTACATTGAACCGTTACAAATAGAGACAGATACAAATAGAGAAAGGAATCTTCAAATAGATCGCTTTTAAGCTACAAATTTCCCATGTATCGCACCTCTCTCTCTCTCTCTCTCTATATATATATATATATATATATATATATATTTGTAAATCTATCTATCTATCAATCTATCTATCTATTTTGTATCTCCCTCTCCTTGTATCTATTTATATATTTCTCTCCATGTGTATTTTTGTCTGTCTCTCTATGTCTATTTGTATCCCTCTCTATATATCTATTTGCATCTCACTTATATATATATATATATATATATATATATT